CCATATTTCCACAACATACCACCTATTATTTAAAAAAAAAAAAAACTTCAGACCCTTAAATGCATTGTTTTATTATTATTATTATAACGACAATGATATCTTATAAGCTATCCATTTACCAAAACATTCGGCCATTTTAAAAAAGGATGGATTACAAAGTTTACAACCCGCTAAAATTACCAAACGCTGTACTACTACGACTGACAGCAGAGCATTGCACCGCTAACAAACCAAAAAAAAAACGTAGCATCCGATCATCGCGCCCCCGTTACCCCGCTCACGGCGCGCCTGCCGCCGCCCGCCGCCGTCCCGGGCCCACCGCAATCGCGCTCCACGCACCATCCGCGCATCGCTCTCGTGCCCGGCGTTCCGCCGGCTTCTCTCGCCATCCTCTCCTCGCCCGCCGCGTCCCTCCTCAGCGCCGCGACACCTCCCTGAATCTCCCTCGATCGCTCCTCCTCCACAGGCCCGCCCTCTCCTCCTCCCTCAGCGGCCGCTGATTCCTGGCCTCGAAACTCCTCCGCTCTTCTCCTCCTCCGCCGTCTCCCTTCGGCCTCCACCTGACTCTCCCACCCTCCTCAGCCTCCACGCCGCCTCCTTTCCCTCTTCCGCCGCCCACGCCCGCGCTTGCAGCTCCTCCATTCTCCTTGACAGCACTCCATCAAGCAAGCCCCCCGCGTCGGCGCCGGCCGACGGCCCACTGGGCCGCCGCCGCCGCCGCCGGGGGCCCCTACCACAGTCAGGTTGACGGAGGGGGCTAGGAGACAGCCACGTCGGCAGCATCGCCGGCTGCAAAAACAAAAAAAAACATCGGAAAGGCGATCGAAGGTATATAACTAAACTAAATGTTTTAGTACCAATTTCTCGGCGAAATCCTCGAGATCCGGTCGTACTTGCTGGGTCGAGTAACCCCCCTCGCTCCTCCCCCCGCTCCGCTGCTCTGACTCCCTCTGCTTCTTCTCCTTAAAGACCTCCACCATTTGCCGAGTCGCTTCGGGCGGCCGGGGAGGTGGGCGGCGATCAGCTTCCAGTTGTTGCCGTGACGGAGCGGAGGCGGAGGAGGAGGTGACTGCTCGTCGGCGGTGAGGGGGGCGCTCTTGATGCCGGCTAGAGTAGTTCTTCCAGCGCTCGAGGCAGGACTTGGGGGTCGGGCGGAACTGGGGGCGTCGCGCCGCTGGGGATCAGTGTGGAAGTCACGTGGCCCTGTAGCGCTGCACGTAGCGGCGGAGGACGGCGTCTTCTTCGGGCGCCACGCTGGCTCTCCTTCATTCACTCAGCCTTGGTTGCGCTGGGCGCGTTCGTAAGGGGGGAGGCGGGGGTCTATAAATACGAGGCAAAACAGGTGTTTTTTCAAGAAAACCCTCGACAACAAATTCTAACTAGCTTTTGGGGTTAATTATGAACAGGGCTTCGTGTAGCACCGATTAATTGAGAAATAGATAGCGATTAATTAGAACCTTGTAGTATTGGCAAGCCGCTGTTTGGTTGGTTTAAAAAAAGGAAATTTATTATGGGGAAACTTATTTTCTATAATAGATTCTTTTCTTTTGTTTGGTTCACCTTCTAAAAGTAAAAAAAAAAAGATAAAAAAGAGTTGTCATCATCTTATTGGAGGATGTGACACAATTTTAAGGAAATTCATGTCATGATCTTTTTTGAGGAATTTTATGGAAAACATGTTTTAGTGATATCTTTATCTTTTTTTTTTTTTTTGATTCTAAGAAATCAACCAAACAACCCCTAAGATGCAAATATAATTTCTTAGTGACCTTGTTCATCTTTTTTTAAAAAGAGTTGAAAAAAATAGCAATTGGGGATCTATGCTCACAAATAGAAATATAGAGGGCCTATCCGCCTCCTCAAACATTTTTAACGAGTCTAACAATAAAAATGTTTCACCTAGGTCGTCCGTTCACCGAGAAAAAAATTAACTCCAAGGTATTCATTCTCAATTGGGTGAACCACAGAGTGTTTGTTTATATACGAGGAAAATGGGTATGACGTGACAGTTTACTTGCTAAATGAACCACCAATAGATGGTCATGTGGCGAGACCCGCTTTGCTACTCACATCAAAATGTGTGAACTTCACATTTCTATCTCTTGGTAGCTCATTTTGTTAAATGAGTCGTCAACTTATAACCATCATTCACACACACACATATACACATACACACACACATATAGTCTTTCAAATATCAATAATTTGTTTATATTAGTCTCTATGTTAACTTTTAGATTAAAAAACACCAAATCCTGATTAGGTTTAGCTTAAGTATGTATCATTAATTACCTAACTACCCTCACCCATTCTCATAGTATCAGTATATATCTAAGAGGAGAAAGAGAGGAGGAGACAGAGGGAGAGAGGTGGCCACAACCCTCCCACTTCATTCAAATGGGAGGGATTATGTCCTCACTTTTGCCAAGACATTTACCAATTTTTCTTATATATATAGTATATATATATACTACTAGTATATATATATATATATTTATTATATATTATATAGTTTTCATATTATTAATATAATATAATAATATTAATATATATTATATAATATTAGGTCAATATACTATGATAGTATATATAGTTCACGTATTTATAACTATATATATTAGTTTAGAGAGAGACAGAGTGAGGAGAGAATGGAGAGAGGAGAGGAGAGAAAAAATTGGTTTGTCGCTTTGGCTACCAAGCACCAACAAAATGTGCGGTTGATTAGTGAGTGTCGAGCATTCTCCTCCACTCATTCAAATATGAGAGCTAGCATTCACATTGGGTGGATGGAGTTGGATGGGGGATTGCTAACACATGCACTTTGATCCAAACACAAAAATTTTTGTGCTTGGCGTACCAAGCATACTCACGGGATATATAGGTACTAATATGTAGTAATATATACGTACTATATAATAGTATATTTATCTATATATTATATATATATATATAGTATATATATATATACCCGTACTATATTATATAGTATATTATATATTGAGGGAATCATGGGTTAATTACTTGCGGTCAAGATCCTTGGTTGTGATGTTGGCACACATCTTGGTCCATACATCCACGCTTGAAGTTGGTGAGGCTTCATCTTCAAAGGCTGCTGATGTATGGACAAGATGTGGGTCCACATCACTGACCAAGGATCCTGGTACCAAGTATACCATTTTTCTCTCTCTCTTCTCTCTTCTCGATATATACTATATATTATATACTATTATATAGATACTATATATATATACAGTATATACAGTTATAGTAGTATATCGATAGTACTAGTGTCATATAGTAATACGTATATAGTATATGTAGTAGTATAGGTAGTTTATATCACGATCTGCTCTTTTTTATGGGCTCACTAACATTTTACCGTTGGATTTAGATATTGACGGGTTTGGGTTTACATATTAGTGGGTTTGGGGTTTGTTAGGTGAGAGACGTAAATATTCGTTAACAACAATAATTAAAGAAAACGACATATTCCATAAGAACTGTGTTGTTGTATGAAATCACACAGTCAAATAAAAAAAGTAATTGAGTTGACAGAGATCCTTTCACCCTCCGAATGGTTGGTTCTTGATTAAGCTGTTCTTTCTTGCACAATTAACAAATCGTAAGAGAGCGGGGTAAGGTTCCTCAGTTGTTCCTTCGATGATCAAGTCAGCGAGTTGTTTGAGTGGAGAAGTAAAAAATAAATTGCAATAGTTCTTAAGCTTAGAGACCAGTAGTGAAGATTTAACCCTATTATTGAAAATAATCTCTATTTATAATAGTGTTAGAATGGTAACTTCGGTTGAGTATGAGACGACGACCACGTTAGTCTCTGTTTTACAGGTGTCGGCTGACTAGTGGAGGAGATATCACTTTGACATTTAATGCAAAGTGATTGGAGGTGTACGGCGTCTACGTGGTCCGACATGTCATAAAAACTATTTGGGGATAGAGGACTAATGACGCCCATAATGCATTTAATAGCATTTATTACAAGATGATCGGTTGTTAGTGTAGGCGTCAAAAAATGCTCATAGATATCCAAACACTGTTCAAAGACAAAGAGAAGATGATAAACACCAGTATCTAAGTCATGGGAGATCATACAAGCCCAAAGGAAGCAAAAGGATCTGTGAATCAACACAAAACAATGTGAATTCATAGAACAATGCAAACTGCAGCGTGTGGGCGCGGCAGTGTTTGCTACCGCGCATAGGCGCGCCGGTGTTTGCTGCCGCGCATAGGCGCGGCAGTAGTTGGTGTCACGCAAGCCATGGGGAAGTTGCTGCGCGGTTCTAAAACAGTTATGCGATGTCCACGTGGTGCCATGATAAAAAGGAGACGTGTGCTGACGTGGACAAGTGGTTAAACCACGTAAAAAGTGGTTAAAAGTTGTGGAAGAG